CATACAACTACCGTAAGACTCTGATATCAAATACTTGGGGATTTCTAGCAATGAAATGAAACTGATGTTCGCACAAAAACCTGTACATGAATGTTCATAGCAGCTTTTATTCACAATAACCAAAACTAGAAACAATCCAAGTGTCAGTAACAGGTGATGGTTAGGTAATACTACTATGGAACAAAAAGGAACAAACTATTGATACAAGCAACAGCATGAAATAGATCTCAAGGGAATTATGCTGAGTGAAGAAAAAGAAGCCAGTTTCAAATGTTATGTACTGTATGATTCCATTCACATAACATTCTCAAAGTGACAAAAGTATAGAAATGGATAATAGATCAGTGGGTGCCAGAAGTTAGAGCACTACGAAGGGGGTAATACCAGGGAGCTTCTTTGGGGGTGATGGAGCAGTCCTGTGTCCTGATTGTCATAATCGTTACACAGATCTATACATGCAATAAAATTTCATAGAACCACACACACAAACACAGTGAATTTGATCAAGTTTCGTTCTTGAGTTAATGCAGTGGTTCTCAACCATAAGCAATGTTGCCCAGACCCAGGGGACATTTGGTAAAATATGGAAATATTTTTGGTTGTGGAAACTGAGGCAAGGGATTGCTACTGGCATCTAGTGGGTAGAGGCCATGGATGCTGCTAAACATCGTGCAATGCATAGGAAAGCCCCCCACAACAAATAATTATTCAAAATGACAATAGTTACAGCAAAAAGGCCCAGCCTCTGGACTGGAATTTCATGTGCAAACGATTCAGTTCCAGAGAACAAACCTGAAGGGTACGTGGTGTTCCAGGACAGGATAGGAAATGCAAATATCAATCACTTTTATTGCCACATAAAATCGCCAGTAGTAACAGACATCACCAGGCTGTCTTTCCTTCCCTCCGGTCCTCTCTAAAGGCTAGGTCTACATATGCAAATAGCGTCAGTGAGTTTTCCTCTCACTTTGTCGGTGTACACACAGTCTCAAGAGTCTGAAGGAATTACAGAGAACTGTGGTTCTCCCAAAGGTAGGCATAAGAAGCCCCCACATGCCCCTTATATCTCTAAGAAATAATGCCTATTTTTTTCAAAAGCCAAAGTGTTGGCTTCTGACATGAATGAATGATCTATTTATGATATTTAATGAAAATTGACATCACATCGCTGGTGTTTCATCAAAAGCCACCCCACTCTTCTTGTCAGTCTTTTTGTGGTGGATTATCAGGGGTGCTCTGTAGGAACTTTTGGTCAAGGACTGAAAATACTTCAAATGCCCTTCTCTCCTTGTAGGGAGAAGTAAGAATTAGAAACCACACAGTGCTATGAATGGGCTCCTTAGGCCTTAAGGAACCAAAAATCCCTCCACCCCATCCTCACTGCTGGCCATAGCTGGGACAGGTGACTCCCACTTGCGGCAGAAACGTAATCTTTAAGTATGAAATTTCCATAATGTTACAGCTTTCTTGGCTGCAAGGGTCCTTAGAACCCATCTTAAGATTGCTTCAGTTTACAGACCAGAATAAAGACCTCTGGTCTTCATTCAAAGATCATTAGTTCCTTCAAAAAGGGAGTATTGCCTGACAGAAGGACTCCTCATCGGTAGAGTGGTTTAACATGAAATTTGGTTTTCAAGAGCACATTCCTTCTGTAAAGCCTACTAAGCCTGCATCAGCCAGTCGGCCTTCAGCAAGGGGAAGGCAGGCAAGTGTGCCATCTTGGTGGGGTAGTGCCAAAGCCACACCTAAGTCACCCCAAGCCTCTGTATGGGGACATCAGCTCCATTTTATCCTGGCATTTAGCTCCTGGAGGCTAGTGTCTAATGCCTCCAAGTAAGAGGAATAAAATATTGATTCATGCAACAACGTGGATGAACTTAACATTATGCTAAGTGAAAGACACAAAGGCCACATGTTGTATGATTCCATCTACATGATATGTCCGGTATAGGTAAATCTATAGAAACAGAAAGTACATTCATGGTTGCCAAGGGCTGGGGAAGGTGGAAGTGGGGAGTGAGTGCTTAATGGGTACAAGTTACCTTCTGGAGTGATGAAAATGCTCTGGTACTTGATAGTGGTGATGATTGCACAGGATTATGAATGCACTAAATGCCACTGAATTGCACACTTTAAAATGGTAAGATAGTAAATTTTACATTAGGTATATTTTACCACAATAAAAAGAGAAAAAAATTACATTCATTTTTTAGTTCCATTTCTAGTAATTCTATTTGGTTCTTTCTGATATTTATTTATATCTTCCTTGTCTTTTTTACATCCTCTCAATTATTTAAACATGTTAAACAAGTTTCTAAATAGCTTGCATCTGATAATAACTTTGGGGATCTACATCTTTAGTTTATTGTTTGTACTAATAGTGGCTTTTAAAAAAATTGTGTGTATGTTTGACTGGGCTTTATCTGTGAGAGTCTTGTTAAAGTCTTAGTTAGGGGTAGACTCCTCCATAAAGGACCAGATTTGCTTCTGCCACATGTCCGGATTTGCCACTAAAAATGAATTGGGCTATGCTGATAGTATTCATTTGAAATCCAAAACCACATGAGGCCAGGCTTGTGATTGCAAACATCAAAGGACCCTAATAAGAAAGTGAAAATAAAATGTACACTTTTTGGAAGTGGAAGAAAATATTTGCAAATCATGAAGAGTCTAGTCTCCAAATCTATAAAGTAGTACAACACTTTAACAAAAAGACAAGCACCCAGTTAATAAATAGGCAAAAGGCATGAACAGACATTTCCCCAAGATATACAAATGGCCAATAAGCACATGAAAATATGCTCAACATCATTAATCATCAGAAAAATGTAAATCAAAACCACAGTGATACCACTTCACACCCACTAGGATGGCTATAATTTTTAAAAAAACCCTGAAAATAACAAGGGTTGGCAAGGATTTGGATAAATTGGAACCCTCATACATTGTTGGTAGGAATGTAAAATAGTGCAGCTGCTGTGGAAAACAGTTTGGTGTTTCCTCAAAAAGTTAACGTATGACCCAGTAACTCCACTCCTAAATATATACCTAAAAGAATTGAAGACAGATATTAAAACAAAACTTGTACACGAATGTTCATAGCAATCAAAGCAGTGCTACTCACAATCACCAAAAGGTGGAAACAACTCAAATGTACATCAGATGCAAATGAATAAACAAAATGTGGCCCATCTGTACAATGGAATATTATTCAATCATAAAAATTAATGAGGTACTGATACATGGCACAACATGGTAACCTCAAAAACATGACACTGAGTGACAAAAGTCAGACACAATTGATCACAAATTGTATGACTGCATTTGCATGAAATATCCAGAATAGGAAAATCCATAGAAATAGAAAGTACATTAGTGGGACTTCCCTGGTGGCACAGTGGTTAAGAATCCACCTTCCAATGCAGGGGACATGGATTCAACCCCTGGTCTAAGAAGATCCTACATGCCGCAGACCAATTAAGCCCGTGCGCCACAACTACTGAGCCTGTGCCCCAGAGCCCATGCCACAACTACTGAGCCCACACGCCACAACTACTGAAGCCTGCACACTCTAGGGCCCATGCTCTGCAACAAGAGAAGCCACCGCAATGAGAAGCCTGCACACCCCAAGTAAGAGTAACCCCCTTTCGCCACAACTAGAGAAAAGCTCACATGCAGCAATGAAGACCCGACACAGCAAAAAAGAGAAGAAAAATAAAGTACATTAGCGTTTACCAGGGGCTGCTGGGAGGGAGGTCTGGGAAATGACTGCTAATGGGTATGGAGTTTCTTTATAGGATGATGAAAATGTTCTTGGATTAGATAATAGCAACAGTTGCACAACATCGTGAATATACTATGACTGAAATGACTGAATGGTATATTAATTTTTAAAAAAATCATAACAGCTACCATTATTGAGCATGATCTCTCTGCAAAGCATCATTCTAAGAGGGTTCAAATCCAAGATCCAACACTTCCTAGCTGAGTGCCTTTAGGTAAGTTACTTAATCTCTCTGTGACTCGATAACATCATCTGTAAAATGAGGATAACAGATGTATCTACCTCCATAGGGCTGTTATGAAGATTAAATGTGTTAATATGTAGAAAGCACTTTGAACACTGCTTGGCACACAGTAAGAATTAGCGAAGTGTTAGATACAGGCATACCTCGTTTTATTGTGCTTCACTGTATTGTGCTTTGCGGATATTGCATTTTTTACAAATTGAACCTGTGTTGTCAGATTATGGTTGGCAGTTTTTAGCAATAAAGTACTTTTAAATTAAGGTACATGCATTGTTATTTTTAGATGTAGTGCTATTGCTCACTTAATAGAGTACAGTATAGTATAGTATAAGCATAACATTTTTTTTGCGGTACGCGGGCCTCTCACTGTTGTGGCCTCTCCCTTTGCGGAGCGCAGGCTCAGCGGCCATGGCTCACGGGCCCAGCCACTCCGCAACATGTGGGATCTTCCCGGACCAGAGCACGAACCCGCGTCCCCTGCATCGGCAGGCGGACTCTCAACCACTGCGCCACCAGGGAAGCCCAAGCATAAATTTTATATGCACTGGGAAACAAAAAAAAAAATCTGTGACGCTTTGTTATTTGCTTTATTGCAGTGGTCTGGAACTGAACCCACAGTTTCTCCGACGTATGCCTGTACTGTGATCATTTCAATGAATTCTCACAACAACCTCATGAAGTAGGTACTATTAGTTATTCCCATTTTACAGATGAGAAAACTAAGACACAAGGAAAATAAGCATCTCACCAGGTGAGCCAGCTAGCAAGTGGCAAGCAAGCTAGGATTCAGACACCAGCAGTCTGGCTTCAGGGTCCCTGCTCTCAACTACTGCCATGCTCTACCTCACATAAATTCGGTATATCAAGCCCTGGAATTCATAGCTATTTTTTGCCTAGGATGAGATTCAATTACGTATTTAAGGTTTTCAAAAAGTGAATCAATTTAAGTAAATATGTTGAGTGAATACTACCATGGCTGGTACCCAGGCATGGCAAAACTTTCAAGGGCACATGAATGACTGAGGTTTAGAAAACACTGGAGTAAACCATGGAAATCTAAGATATGACAGAATATACCTGAGCTGTTACCAATGTACTAGGTAGGCTACTGCCCACCATGATTAAAATCTGTATGGGGAATTCCCTGGTGGCCCAGTGGTTCAGATTCCATGCTTCCACTGCAGGGGGCACGGGTTCAGTCGCTGGCTGGGGAGCTAAGATCCTGCAAGCCACTCTGCGTGGCCAAAATACAAATAAATAAAAATTGAAAAAGAAAACCCACATGGATCTCTTGTGTAATAACTCGTCCCAGGCCATAATTGTTCACCAGGTATCTAGCCAAAAGAGAGGGAAGCCTGCAGAACTCAGCAAAAGCTGCCCTGAGGAGGAAACATCTTGATTAAAGTTGGAGAGAGGTTGTAGAGGTGCCATCCCTTGACATCTGTTTGAAAGTGAATTGGTCAACCAGCCATCTATTCCCTGGTTTCCTACCCACCACCCCCTGGGAACATGACGCACAGCAGTCACAGTGCCCCAAAATATTTTAATTTCTTTTTAAATTAAAAGAAAAAATTAATATGATCCAGCCCAAATTATATTTGTCTTTATACCAACAGGTGTAAAATATAATTTTTAAAAAATGCTATGGAGGAAGAGGCCCAAGATGACAGAATTGCCTAGGGCCCACAAAAGTCCTAATGTGGCCCTGATACTGGGGTGGGTCTCATGACCTCTCCCTCCTGACTGTGTCTTGAAGGAACCAGTTCAGAAGCCAATGCACGCAGCACCCTGATCCTGTTAGCATCCCCTCAGTGTTGAGAAAAGTAAAGGGACCACATTTGGGAAACCCAGCACTCCTGGATCCCAAATCTCTGGCTTAGGGAGACTCAACCAAGGCCCTGGTGCAACGGGGAAGAGGCTTGAACCAGCCTCTGGTAGCCCAGGAGGAGGTGGACTGGCACTCAGGATTTTTTTTGGCCACGCTTTCCAGCATGTGGGATCTTAGTTCCCCGACCAAGGATCGAACCCACGTCCCCTACAATGGAAGCGTGGAGTCTTAACCACTGGACCGCCAGGGAAGTCCCACTCAGGATTTTTAAAGACTGCCCAATGGCCTGCTTCCCCAAAATACCTTTCCCTCTCCTCCACTCCTGCCTGGAATCACACCATTATTTACTCCTTTGAAATAAGACAGCAAGAATATTGTGAAAAGTGCACAAACTCACTCGTATGCCCATGGTCAAGTTGCCTGGCTTCCCTGGGGCTCAGTTTTCTGTGTAAAAAGAATGGGGAGATAATAATGGTGGTTATAAAAGTAAAAATAGGATAAATTATGCACAGTGCTAGGCAGAGGACTCATTTTTTTTTTACGTGAGTCTTTTCCAGATCTTACTTCCCCGACCAGGGATCGAAAACGTGCCTCCTGCAGTGGAAGTGTGGAGTCTTAACCACTGGACTGCCAGGGAAGTCCCGAAGAAGTGATTCTTATAATATGAAGGACGTGAAAACGTCCTGGAACACCTGCAAACACTTCTTGGAGGAAGAACCACAATCGTAATTCGTCGCCTGGCCCTTTTTTTTTTTTTTTTTTTTTTTTTTTTTTTTTTGGGG